ATACACAACGAGCTAATGACTTTTTGAATAACTACAATCATCCTCAGAAAAAAGTTATCAATTTAGTAAATTATCAACGTAAAAAACAAATATTAGATAACCGTGAACGATTATGACCAATAATAAAAACAATTGTTTTCTTACCAGCAAAATATATCGTTACGTGGTCATCGTGATGATGGTTTTATTTATTAAGAAGATTGGGGAAAAGTTGATTTTGCTATTAATCAAGGAAACTTTAAAGAACTTCTTAAGTTTCTTATTCTCATCTTAAGATGCTGGTGACCATTTACTTAAAAATAATTTGAAAAATACTGGTGAAAGAGCTACTTACATAAGTAAATTAACGCAAAATGAAATAATCGAGTATTGCAAACTAGAAATATTACATTTAATACTTTTAGAAGTAAAAGAAAACAAATATTTTAGTATTCTATTTGATGAGGCCACAAACTTATCTAACATTCCTCAAATGTGTTTAATTATTCGATATATTTTACACGGAAAATCATATGAACGATTTTTAACATTTATTGATTGTCATAGCTATGTTTATAATAAACGAAAACACCAACAATTAGATGTTAATTTGGAAGACGACGATTAACCTCAAGAAATATTAAATAGTAAATTAGAACCTAAATAAACTGAGAACTTTTGGGAAATACAGTCGTAAAACTATTGCAAGAATTAGAATTAGATTTAAATTACTGTGTAGGCATTGGGACCGATTGCTGTTCCGTTGTGGTATTTGCAGTTCGTGGCGTTATCCAACGAATTAGAAAAATTACTAAAAATGCAATACATAGTCCTTGCTCAAATCATACCTTAAATTTAAGTTTTTCGAAATCGTCTACTGTACAATCAATTCGCAACTGTGTTGGAGTAATAAAAGAAGTTGCTTCTTTTTTTCATGTATCTGCCAAACGTAATTACGTTCATCAACAACATTTGACTATCTATAGAAAATTACATAATTTATGAGAAACACGATGGATAAAAAGGCATGGTAGTGTATTGTATTTTAAGGAATCAATAATTGAAATTATTGACACTTTAACTGAAATATCAGAATGGCAGGATAATATTTCTTCTTCGAAAGCTAAAATGATGATATCTGCTATTTGTAATTGTGATTATATTTTTTCTCTTTTTTCATTATCAAATTTATTAGCTGTTACTTTTCCGATAAGTAAAATTTTAAAAGGCAAAGATCAAAATATTGTTGCTGTATCTGAATGTATCAAAGATGTATACAATTGGTGAAGAAAAGTTAAATGGGATAGCATTACTCCACATTCATAAAGATATTCCTATTGATATAGAAAGTATTACACGTTTTGCTAAACAAAAAAAAAGACATATACTTTTATTGTAGATTTTTATTATTACAATGGTTGATTAACTATGCATCTGTGACTATACTTTTTATTATTATTTTTATTTAATTGTAAGTACAAGGTGAACCTATTTTGGATAATTTCATAATATACTATGTATAATAAAAAATGTTTGTTCAATTTGAAGCATTTGTATTATTTCAAAATATTGGGGAAAAATTATGGGTTCTCCAATGACTAATTATTGTTTTTATTTATCTTAATTATTGTTTTTATCATTTCCGCCCCCCTCCCCTTAAAAGTCAGTTATATCCGCCACTGATTTAGTGGAGTGTAATGAATAAACTATATAGTATTTATTTTATAATAAATTATAATTTTTCGCCGTAGTTTATTTTTATAACGTATACATATTAGTATCTAGGAACACAATTATTATAAAATTAAAGATATCTAAGCACAACCAGGCCCTGATGTACCAATTTATGGGCCCAGTACAATCTGAAATGTTAGGCTACAAATCGTTCATCTATTTGTCATTCAATACTAAAATAAAATTTACCCATGCATAAGAATTCAGTAATTTATCCGTGTGTTTAATTAATATATATACAATATAATATACATAATAAAGTATATCAAATAAAAATAAAACATTTAAAAAAAAAAACATTTGCATTATCGATCTTAATAATTATTTAAAAATAAACGACCCGACAAACGTTGTTTTATGATATAAATTATTTCTAGAGAATATTTTGCTAGACAAAAATAACTAATTTAATATAAGTATGTAAAGATGTGGTATGTAAGTGGAAGAGGTATGGAGTGCTGTGAACAGTGACGAAATATAAAAATAAAAAAACCTTAAACATTTATTTTTTTAATAATTTTTTAAAATTGATCCTTATAATTATATATATATATATCGCTAATTATGACAATATTAGTAAAAAACAATATCAATCTATTAATGTAACAGAATGTACCATATTTTTTGCTATCCCATCTTTCGCCAACACAAACAAATTGGATGGTTTGAGAGCACGCCACGTATAATTGTCTGTGTGAAAAACATGATGTGCTCAAATCTAAGCCACAGACAGACATCGTTTGGCCTTGAGACTTATTGATAGTCATTGCAAATGCCAATCTAATTGGAAATTGAAGGCGTTTAAATTGTATTGGTACATCTGTGGGTATAATAGGGATTCACGGTAATAATATATTTTCACCTCGGAATTTACCATTTAAAATGATGGCTTCGATAACATTTTTCATTCATTTTTTAATGACTGATCGCGTGCCGTTGCACAACCGTGGTGGGTTCAAATTACGAAGCAAAATAACCAGAGATCCAACCTTCATTTGTAAATTATGCGGTGGCTTGCCTGTTAAATTCAATGAGTTTAAAAACTCTGTTGGATAATTTACAGCTTCAGTAGCATCGCAAACTGTATCAATAGATTTGTATGACTTTCATCTGTAGTAACTTTCCCATCACCGATATCTAACAATTGTTTTGAGAATATTCCGCTCGCATTTTTTTTTGATCTAATCGTAAGTATCGAAATCTTTCACTCTCTATCTTTACATATATGTCGACCACGAATTGTTGACAAAGCTCACGCATCGTAGAATAACGTTCTCCTGATCGCGTCTAATCATCAACCGATATGCATAATAATCCTTCGAACTAACATTCTTGTGTTTTGGCACCTGTTGCAGGATCTTTTTGTTTAATACTTATGCAATATCCGTCATTTAATACCAAAAATATAATTAATAGTTTTTTAATAATTTCATTTAATAATTTATTTTCAATTGCGCAGTTATCGACCGGGTCAAAAATTATTAAATTAAACTATGATTTATTAAACTATAGCACTTTTCCAACATTTTTTTTCGTAAAAACATTTTCCTGGTAATTACGAACAAATAAAAAAAAAAATTGAGCCAAATCGGCCCAGCCGGTTTCAATTGATGAAATGTTATACATTTTTGGCTCCATTTATATATATATATATATAAATATTTTCAAAACAAATTTGATTTAAGTATTCACTAACTCTTGCTCATGCTCTTTGTGTTAAAAACTCGTTAATAATATCATCAACATTGAAGTGAACTGATATATCATTTTTGGTTGTTAATACTGCCTGAGCGTCTAAATAAAGTCCTATATAATATATATATATATATATATGCGATATAGATCACAATCTATTTTTTGTTTATTTAAACTATGAAAATAATTTATCGTCGGAATAATTTGTAAAGTATAGAATGTAGCAAGCTTTGTCAGAAAAATTTGTAAACATGTTTTCACTACTCGTAATACTAAATATTATGCAAATTTTGCAAATCTTTTAATATTTAATGAGAATTTATTAATGAATAAAATTTAAACTATTTTACAAGATGCTCAGAATCTAAATCTAGTTTGTTTACATACATTGATTACATGTTATAATTAGTTTCTTATTCTTATATCCATCTGGATTTTCATTAAACAAAAATCCAAATTTTTTCTCAACTTCAATGTATATCACTTTGCATTTACTTAGCTCAGGTATATTTTTATCATAAATTATAAAATGAATGACACTAACAAACTTCGCTTATGAATCTTATAGTGTTTTTTTTTCTGAATCAGCATCATCTATAAGGTAACTAGGTACTTTTTAAAGTTTTTTTTCTCTTGAACTCTCATTCAATTATTTGATTTAAAAATGCCATAGATTCTGGAATAAATTGTACTAAATATATTAAGGACATTTATTAAGTTTCCCGTTAGTACAAAAGTTAACTACAAACAATGGAAATAACTATTGTTGAATTATTCATTTATTTATATCGTGTGATTAAGATTTATCACAATGTTAGCGAAAATAATGCAAAAAAATGTAGCTGTGGTTTGTGATTTGTATGAAAACATTTTCCAGTTTTTCATAACTTCCTATACATATGACACCGGGATAATATTACTTGGGGATAATGTTGTCGTTGCGTACAACACCTTGTTTACACCATGAAACGAGACCGTCAGGATCTCGCCGAGATAAAATTCGAAAACCAAAAGCAAAATTTGTGCGCGAAACGCGTGAACGTTTACGTTTGTTAATTTTTCTGCTAACAACTTCGCGACGACGTCACGCTCCGTGTGACCAGTGGCAAGCTGGCAGTGGTCGCGGCCGTCGGGGATTCTCTCGTTCATTCATACGTACTGGTAATATTATTATTCATTAGTGAACAGCGTTCGGTCGGGCGGTTCGCGCACGCGCAAGCGCGCGCACACGTTTTTCGCCGGAACGCGAAGACGCGGCAAGTGGCGTGCTGGGTGGGAAGGGCGCGTTGGGGAAGGCGTCGCGTTGTTCCTCGGTATCGGGTAGAGGATTGAATGAACGCGTGAGAGTGGGTTACGGAGGAGTGAGCGAGACCTGTTGCGCACGCCCGTCGCGCCATCTGCCGGAAAACGCGGTGGCCGTCTACTACACTAAAACAATATACTATGTACGCGCGGGCCGCCGCCGTAATTGTTATTACTATTATTGTATTAAATCGCAGCCGCAACCGCGGGCACATATGAACGGCCGAGGAACGGCTACGACGGCGACCGCGACGACGACGACGACGACGACGACGACAGAGCGACAACGACGACGGGAACCGGCCAGCAGCAATACACTCGGTCACCGCCGCCGCTGCCGCCGCCGCCGCCGTCTCTCATTCATCGTTTCGCCGCCGTAGCCATAGTCTTCGCCGTGCCGTCTCCATTGTTGCGCGTCGCCCGTCGCACTCGTCGGTCCGCGGACGTACATACGCACACGCACCACGCACGCATACGTACACTTGTCCGCTGCACGCGGCATACTCATCATTTCTCGTGCGCGCACGCGCATCTTTGTTTTATTCGATCTTATAGTATTGTTTTTACTGGCACCGTTTCGTATTTTATCTCTCCGTTCGTTTCAACGATATTTTCGTTCACCGAAACGGAATTTATCGCACCGCCGCCGACAGAGACCGTTCCCGCGGCCGTCAAGTCCGATCCCAGGTAAAAACTCCGTCTCCACCACCGGTGCCCGTGGACGCGCGTTACGATTCCGCTTCGTTCCGGAGGATTTCTGTCTTTCCCGCGATTTGGTTTTCGGCCGTTCAACGGTTCTCCGTCCGCGAAGTCCGCTCGTCAAGTTCCGGCGAACCCGTAAAGGTCTCTCTCTGCAGCCAAGTGCCACCGCGGGAGACGAACAATAAGAATGCGCTATAAACGATCCTCGGCGTAGTTGCACTTACACCGTTCCGAGCGTGCCTAAACTTCGACTGGACGACGGCCAGTTGATTCACGACACTTAGACCCATCAAGATCGAAAAATCCGTCTGATCCGCCACCGCTGCTGCTCTTCGGTCGATTTCATTACAGGTAATGCATTTCCGTTTGATTTTCGGGTTGAACTGTTTTTATGACGAAAATTTACTATAACCGTTATTAAAATTATTAACGCCTAGACGGAAAAATGACAAATAATACGTAACATATACGCTGAATAATGAACGTATTTACATTATCATATGAAATATCGCGGAACCACTAAATTGATTTTACTTCTACTGGTCACAAAAAAAAAAAAAAATCATTTATTTATCATTGTACTATAACAGAATAATATGTAATACTTCTAATATAGTGTGTAGGTATATCGTGTACTGATATCAATATAGAATCCTGTTCATTAATCATTACTCAATACTTGAGTCAAGTGTATCCGGATTTTTTTTACACCTGATCGCATGTGAGAAAAATTTATTCGTTTCAAGTCATTTCGAATTTTTATATTTTTGAATCAGACCTCCTATGAGCAAGTCCAGGGACAATAGGTTTTTGGGATCCTTTATTTTGCTGTCGTAACTGTTACCGGTACACTATAAAATTCACAATGTGGGTCCAGGGTCAAGATTTCCATTTCATTCAAGATTTTTGTCACTGCTGTACATTGTATCATTGTATCGACATGGATAGTGTTGGTTTACAGACCAAGACCAACCATATAATAGTAGGGACCGATTCATTTTCTATTCTATATTAGATCGTGGACGTTATACTTTGTAAATACCTCGATTGAACTGTATAAAAAAAGGGAAAGGCTATACAAGTAATTGTTATAACACTACGAGCCTTATATGTAAACATAGTTCATTCATTATTCGGATTCAACGATTTTCCGCAGATTTTGGGTAAAAAAAAATCGTATTATGAATGTGTATAATAACATAATACGATTTAAACGCGATAAACAAGTCTTTTATAGCTACAAAAGTAGAGTGGAGTTTGTATAGGGAGTACTGTAGTTACAACATAGAATAGAACTTGAGTTGTTTGTAACACGAATGTATATTGTACCTATATGATATTATTATCTCGAAATTATTGAATTGCTAGTCATTAGTTTATTTATCTTTGACTTTCGAACAAACCCATCCACTTAAGATCTTCATAAACGAGAAATGTCACAAATATGAAATAATTACCGACAAGACGGCCGTGTCGTTAAACTCATAAATCCTAGTCGACCGATGTAGTTTTTTCCTTTTTTTTATCTCTCATCAATGGAATCTCCGTTGCATGTGTGCTTACGTGTGTGCGTGTGTGCGCGCGCGCGCGTGTGTGTGT